AAGCATTTTAAATAGCACATTGCCCAGAGACCAAATCCCTAGCTAAAGCAAATTGGCAAGAGCTCTGTGCACTACAATAGAGCCACGTTGATTTATACCACCAAAAGGATCTGAACTCTTCTGTAGAAATTAGCCCACAAAGTAAAACATCACCTATGTGTAAGATCTCATTAAAAGATACATTTTATGTAATGTTACTAAAAGATGCTGCATGTGATGCTGTATATTTAAAATAAGCATTCACCTTATTAAGTTGTGCTGTGATTGAAAGGGCTAGTTGGTTTTGTGCGTGTATCAACTTTACCCAGGAAATTATGGGAACTGCTGCAAAATCTGCAGTCATTTCCTCTTAAAACAACAGGTAAAGCAGAAAACAAGATAAAGAGTTTCTAAATCTACACCTCTATATGGATTTTCTAGACTTTGCAAAATCCAAAGAAGGTGATTCTAATATATTTATTAGATGATAAAATGCATATCTGATGTCTTAGCCCTTGGGTCATATATTTTATATACATCAAAGCAGGCAGCAGTTTGGGAAATGTATACTAAACTACTTGGCCTGATGGAAATGAAAATATTTTTTTTACCCCATACTCTTACTGATAGGAATAAGATTCCCAAGTTATAGATAGGCTAAAGCTGCAGAATTCAGAAGTGGGATCCAAACTTCAAAGCTTGAGGGGGAGAAGTCAGATGAATGTTTTTTTATTTGAGCTGACTGCTCATCTGAATATGCAATAAACAACTTCCATTTGCATATAAATTTGCATGCACAAAATTATGTCTTTTCCAATATACTGAATATGAGAATGCAACAGATATATCTGATCCTACTTGATCGCAAATTTAGTTAGATATTTCTAGTAAAGGTGAATAAGCAGTTAACTGGCATTTAAGGGTCATAAAGGGGCTCTGAAGCTCACACCCTATTACTGTTTACACTGGAAGGTTAGCTTGAATATTTGTTGTTGGTTACAGAAAATAAAGTAAGGACACTTGAAATACCCTCATTCTGTATCTTCGATTGTGTCAGGCAATAACACTGGGCTGCATAAGTAGGAGTGTTGCCAGCAGACTGAGGGAAGTGATTCTTCCCCTCTATTTGGCACAGATGAGGCCACATCTGGAGTCCTGTGTCCAGCTTTGTGTCCCCCACTACAGAAGGGATGTTGACAAACTGGAGACAGTCCACTGGAGGGAAATGAAAATGGCTAGGGGCCTGGAGAACATAACTTCTGAGGACAGGCTGAGGGAACTGGGCTTATTTAGTCTTGAGAAGAGAAGACTGAGAGGGGATTTAATAGCAGTCTTCAGCTACCCTAAAGCGGGGTTCCAAAGAGGATAGAGCTACACTGTTCGCAGTGGTGGCAGATGACAAACCAAGGAGCAATGGTTTCAAGCTGCCACAAGGGAAGTTTAGGTTAGATATTAAGAAGAATTTTCTCACTAGGAGGGCAGTAAAACACTGGAACAGGTTACCCAGAGAGGTGGTGGAATCTCCATCCTTGAAGGCTTTTAAGACCCAGGTAGACAAAGCCTTGGCTTGGATGATCTAGCTGGAGATGGGTCCTGCTTTGAACAAGGGGTTAGACTAGATGACCTCCTGAGGCCCCTTCCAAACCAATTTTCTTGATTTTAAGACATTAATCAGGATGCAGATGAGTGAATGGTATTATTACAGTGATGTTGTAGCCATGATGATCCAGGAATTATGCGAGAGGCAGGGATTTTTTGGGTGGTATCTCTTACTGGACCAACAGAATGGCTGGAAGACTTTGACAAACTTTCAAATGCAAGGTATTCCTTAGGTCCAATAAAAGATATCACCCAAAAAATCTTTGTCAGGTCAGTAAAGACAGACACATAGTGAATTCAAGCAGCAGGTCAACCTTTACTAACACAGCACTTGGACGATGCACTATATAACTTGCCTCCCTTGACTCTAACACACCAGGCATTTAAGTACGCCCTGTGCAGGGACTACCAGGGTAGACCCTGGATATACTCTTAGCATTTGGCTTGCTGTTCTAAAGCTTCTCATCCTGCTCACTGCGATGTGGACAGAGTATACACCAAAGATAGACTGCTGTCTTGGTTTACACGACTCCTCTTTTCCCAGTAAAATACCAGGTTTCTTTCACCCTTAGGAGTTTAGCTTTTTTTGGTCTTTACCCCAACATACTAGATAAGCGTATATGTTTCTGAGATTATGCTAAATGTTTACCTTCCTGCTCATAAAAGAATCCTTATATTTGAGTGAGCTTTAGTACAGATGTCTAAGGTTCTTATTATATTATTTATTCTAATATTGGAAATAATGCTGAACAGGAAACAAAAAATATCTACAGTTTATATCTATTAAATACTCAGGACTGTATCTTATCAGTTCTTAGTAGGTACTTACAGGCAATTTTCTGCACCATTTTGGCAGCTAGGTAAGATTAGTATGATTGCAGGAAAATGAAAAGAAAAGCAAAGATGATAATTCAAGAAAAAAACATAAAGGAAAAAGGACAATCGCTTACAGAGGTGTTTACAGAATAAAACACGGTTTGTTAACAAAGGCAACAGAAAGGGATGTTCTTTATACAAATGAGGATTTTGTGGACAAAAAAGAACACAAAATATGAAACATGTACACTGAAACCTTGTGTGCTGTCCCTCAGCCTGCAAAAACATGTAACACAATCACTTGCATAGTTTTCCATTCTTTTTCCTTTTCATGCAGCATAATAAATGGTGGAGAGCAGGATCCTGCATTGTATTATTGACAACTGCTGCTGTTAATTTTTTTTAAAGTAAATTTTGTTGGTTCACTCAGGGTGGGAGTTTTAATTAAAGTACTCACTAGGAGGGCGAAATACTAAATACTAAAAATACTAAAGACTGGCTCTGACTGCAGTTGGGTCTGCCCACACAGTCATTTACAGAATTATGGCCATAAACAGTGTTGGTACGTATCATGTGTGTTACTACAGCACCTATGAAATACAGAGGACATAGTACAAGAGTATAATGATGACACTACATATTTCAAACCTATCATTTATTTATTAACTCCTTCTACATTTTTCCTGTTAATAAATGGATGCATAAAATATCCCATTTCCAAAGAATAGAGCCACATCTCCAAATCAGTACAACACAAATTTGTGCAAGATTAAAAGGAAACTAACACAGAAGTATATCAGTGTGACTGAGCCAAGGAAGCCCAGCTGGGAGTTAAAGTGGGATTCCTCACCAAAAGTGAGATAGGAAGTAAGACGCTGAAGGAATTAGGTAATTCTGCAAACACTTGAGTCCCAAAGGCAAAGTCATCTGTTTAGGTAAAAATTAGTAATGAAGATCTTTCCGTGGCTCTTGGAGAGGGTATGCTAAGTTATACAATAGCACTGGCTACAGGTACCATAACAGTTGCATAATACAATCCAGAAATGATGCTGACACTCTTTAACTTTTTAAACAGCACTACTTATTTGCTGTGCACGACGCAAAATAAAGATGCAGAATTTTAATATGTGCCCAAGATTATATAACCATGTATGCATTTACAGTAAATAACAACATCAGCAACCTGAGAATGATTTCTACCTTACTTTAACACAGTTGGAAACAGAATGTCCTGAAATATCTTCATTTTTTTATTTGGGAATTTTAGTACACAAAGCCATCTGTTTTTTTATTTGATTTCCATAATTTTCTTGTCTTCTCCATGTTATTTAAAGTATTTTGTTTAAACAATGGGCATATATCTTTTCTGGCCCATCTTCTATATTTCTGCACTATTCTGTAGTGAGGTCATAACTGTATAACCATGACAAAGAAATTTATATAAACACAGATTGTTGTTGCAAACACAGAATTATGCCTTTCCTGAAGAATCAAGAAGGAAGAGGAACTGGGTAACAGGAAAATACTAATGTAATTAAATAACTTACTAGTAAAGAAAAACACAGAACATGAAGGAGCAGGTAAAATGCTTTTGTACAAATCTGAAGGTCTTTACTCATGTAACTCTCTTTGAATTAATGACAGTTTACTTAACTTTCAGGAAAAAATCATGATGTGGTCCTGCATAGACATGTAACATAACCTCACAACAGGATATTTGCTAATTTAGGGTTTGTTTACAATTCTGAGCACCATTATGTTATTTGGATTTAATAAACCAGTTTCTATGGTATTTCGGGGAGATATATTTCCAAAGATGAAATTTTGAGTCTGTCTACCCAGCACAATGAAGATGCGGCTGCTGTGCAGGCAGGCATACACAAGCTTGCTTTGATCTAGTTAGAATAGGTAACTGAAGATACAGTGGCATATGCTTCAGCACAAGCTAGCAACGAGAGTATAAGCCTGCCAGGACCCTGGCTACTTATTCAGGTTACTGGCCTACACAATTGTCCAGATTGCATCTTCACTGTTACTTGAGCTAGCTAGAGTAAAACTAGTACAGATATATGTCTGTTCATGCCACACTCACATCTTTGTGTTGCTGCGTAGACATACCCATCATAGCAAATTCCTTTTACTTGAAGAGAAGAGTAAACCCGTTGGCATGATTAAGTATTTGGAGATCCAAAGATAGGTGATCAGTTAGTTGGTTCAACAGTCATAGCAAGGATTTTGATAATGATTCTTTTAGGCAGGGATTCATATGGGCAGGGAGGGAATAAAGCCAATCAGTGGATTTTAAAACGACTTACAAAAGAAACGTAATGATCTATGTATCAGTTAATGTTAAACTTGCCATCTGAAGAAATATGAATACTATGAAATACTGTCTTTGCATAAAGTCAATGTTAATGCATAAAGTTGAAATATATTTAGAAAAAGCAGCTGTTAAGGAGTAAGCAGCTCATGTCCATCTTAACTGTCACAGTTCTCTGACTGCGCTATAATAGCCAGTGGATCAGTTAAAATGTAAATCTTATTCATAAATCAGAATTGTCACTTTGTCTCTCCTAGTAAAAACAATTAATTGCAACATGCCTTACCTCATTAATGCCTGGAGTAATTGTAGGTGCAGCAATAAAAACAACAAAAGGAGCAAACTCTGCAGTTCTCAGGACCTTCAGTGCCTACATGAAAAACACTGAATACTTTAGAAATGGAAGAAATTGATTCAGATGACACACATTTCAATACAGAAGTAGAAGAATTAACAAGACTCCAAGTAAGTTTTAAAATATAACAAATACATTTTACAAATCCAAGCGGGTTGTTCAATTTATACCCATAATGCTTTGCAAAGAGATGGTGAAAGGGGGGTGGTCCTAATTGCAGATTTATCATCAAATTGATTTAATGATAAATATATGTTGGAATATATGAAAACATCAATATTTTAACACTGGGACATTTCCCGTAAAAAATAGAATAAAAATGTGTTAGACTGAACAATTTATATTAGCCAGGAAACCTTTTGCTATGATGTTATAGGCAGGACACAATATAAACTGTGCTTCATAATCAATGCTGAATGGAAAATCATAGCAAAAAATTAGGCTAAGATATGGTTCAACCTGGAGATAAACATATTTTTATTACTTGCTGGCACAAAACAAGTTCTAATGTGAAAACTTCAAAGCTTCCAGGACCTGAAGAGACTCACTAAACATAGTTTGATAAAGTATGGCTAGTGGCTCAGCTATAAAACCCACATGGTGCATTTTTGCAAAAGGGTAAATGAAAAGCAAACAGTCACAAGCAATCTGTCTCAAACAGGAATAAGAGGTGAGCCAGTTTCATAGATGTCCAGTCCAGATTGGAACCTGGAGCAGCAAGCAAACAACCTATCTGATCTCAACTGCTTGTGTATGTGGAATGAAAAGGTGCAACCCACACTCTTACCCGTCCTTTCTGCCCACAAGGTCCTTTTAAAAAAAAATCCATTCTATCCCAAGCCTAAACAGATGTTCCTCTCTACTGCTTGAATTCCACCCTCAGAAACCATCACTTATGCAAGGCTTCTCAAAAGAGATGAGATGAATCCCCTCTGCGAGGGGCGAGAAACCTCACAGCACAGAGAATGTCTGGAGGTGGAATAGGGAAGCATTGCACCAACTACGGCAGAGGTCATGGACAGGCTGGCCCTACAAGGCTTGCTATGGAAAGAGATTGCCAAGCAAGTGTTCAGGGGAAGGAGTATAGCAGAAAAAATTGTATACACAGGTTTACTGAAAATATGATCATACAAGACCTTACATTTATAGAAACTACAGTTAAAAAGTCAAGGACATTTTCAAATAAATTCAAAAGCCTTCTGTAAATCCTACTATTGGCATGCATAATATAGCCATGCTCACATATAGCATATTCTTACACCATTTTATCATGGTTTATCATACTAGTTTGTGTTTGAACTACTAAAATAGAAGAGACTGTAAATACTGTTATGGATGTAAAATGCTGGTAGAGTTGTGATTTTTCAAATGTATTTTTCAGAGGGGTACTACTGTGACTGCAATGAATTAGATGAACCCTGTTACACAATATCATCTGAAGGCTTATTCTTGTTATGCAAGTCTCCACTGTAATGAAACTGGAAGTCTAACAGCTGCAATGTCCACAACAGATTCTCTGGTCTAATGAATTCAGCCATGGAGAAGAAGTTATATGACGATGAAACTGCCAGTGTAATGCAAATATGCTGTATTTACTCAAATATAAGATGATGCCCCAATAATTAGATTCTGTATATGGAAAAATTATACATTTGTTATAATATTCCAGTTACAGAATTTAACTGTTGGAAGTTTGCCATGAATTTGTCTCCCTCCCACTACTACAGCAGGGAAAACAAATCTGTGAGGAGGTCAGGAAGCTCCTTTGCCCTCTGTGTGTCATTCCCCGCCCCCCCACCCCCAACTTTTTTCTCTTGCATCCCCTTCCTCCCTTCCTTACTGTCAGACCCTGCTCTTCCTCAACACATGGAAGTGAGGGGCAAAGTTGAAAACACTGATCTAGAAATAAACACAGCCACTGTAATTTGTATATACACATATTACTATGCTAGAGGTTAGGGCTAGGATTCAGACAGACCCTGGCAAATTGAACGATTGGACCAAAACAAATACCATGAGGTTCAATAAGTGCCAGGGCAAAGTCTTGTACTTGGGACAGAACAATTCATGCACTGGTACAGGCTGGGGACAGACTGGCTAAGCTGCAACCCTGCAGAAAAGGACCAAGGATTACAGTGGACAATAAACTGAACATTAAGCCAACAGTGTGCTCTTGTTGCCAAGAAGGCTAAAAGCACACTGGGCAGTATTAGTAGGAGCATTGCCAGCACACTGAGGGAAGTGATTCTTCCGGTGAGGTGACACCTGGAATACTGTGTCCAGTTTTGGGCTCCCTGCTACAAAAAGCATGTGGACAAGCTGGAGAGTCCAGTGGAAGGCAACGAAAATGGTTAGGAAGCTGGGAGGAGAGACTGAGAGAACTGCGCGTATTTAGTTTGGAGAAGAGAAGACTGAGAGGGGATTTAATAGCAGCCTTGAACTACCTAAGGGGGGGTTAAAAAGAGGATGGAGCTAAACTGTTCTCAGTGGTAGCAGATGACAGAACAAGGAACAATGGTCTCAAGTTGCAGCAAGCGAAGCTTAGGTTAGATATTAGGAAAAACGTTCTCACTAGCAGGGTAGTAGAGGACTGAAACAGGCTACCCAGAAAGGTTGTGGAATCTCCATCCTTGAAGGTTTTTAAGACCCGGGTAAACAAAGCCTTGTCTGGAATGACAGGCCTGGGGATGGTCCTGCTTTGAGCAATTACATTAGATGATCTCATGAGGTCGCTTCCAATCCTAACTTTCTAGGATTCTATGATTCAATGTAGTGGCTCACCATGACTTGAAAAAGAATTGATGTGAAGATGACTGAGCTGAATGGGCACTACCTATACCTTATTCAGACAGGCTGCACTAGCTTATCATTGTGGTAGGTTCCCATCAGTATATTTACTGAAGGTAGGCTACGTGTTTTACAGTCATGCTCAGTGTTGGCTGCATTTTAATCAACTTTCTAGCTGATTTCTATTACTAAACACATACCGCTTTTGGCAGCAGTTTAATGATAGGCAATGCATTTAATGAGGTTTCCTTGTATGCAATTATAAGACTAGAGGCTTTTTTTCCCCCCATGCTAACTGGGGGAAAAAACCTAGTCTTGTATTCAAGTAAATACAGTACCATTGTGGTCTCAGTTAGTTTTACTTATATGGGGATGAGCCCCTGCATATCATAGTGGTGGCTGGTTTAAAAAAAAAATGGTCAATTAATCCAGGAAAAAACTCTGCAAGGTCCATTGTCTTCTGGGTGAAATTGCTCATATTTTTAATTGGTTCCTACAAATTATTTCAGCCTTCATTTTTATTCATTTCCTCTAACTTGCTCAAATATTAACTTGGAGGCACTGCAGGCATCCAACTTATTTTCAATTTTCAGCTAATAATAAAACAGATACTTACTTGGTTGCAAACTGAAATTCATGTCTAGGTAGGGGGACTGGGAGGGTGGTCCAAAGAAAATTAGTTAAAATTTTCCTCTAAAGATTTTACATGAAAATGGCAGCACCATGATCAAACTGCTTGCATCCATTAGGTTTCTGACTGTTTCTACTCACAGAAGCTACCACATCACACACAGAGACAGCTCAGAGTTGAGCTGACCTGGCCGTGCTGCTGGCAGCACCATTCTGTAACATGGGCGACAGACAGAAAATGTTTATGGTGGTGCTGATCATTCTGAGGTAGGGATAGTTTGGGCACAGAAGAACAAGCTTCCCCCTCCTGTGTAATGTATCAAGGAGAAATCTATGGCTGAACACATTAATATGCCATGTCTGGTAAGTGCAACCTGTTTCTGCGCTGGACAGCTAAGTGCAATGAACAACATAAGAAGTCCTACACTCTCGATATATTAAAATGTGCACCAAGTATATTTTCATAGCAAACCAATCCCTTGCCAAGCCAAACTGTGAGATATTTTCTGCTTCATACTTTTACTCAGATGTTCAAAAGAAGATGACTCCATATACTAATAGCCCTCTGTTTTGGGAATCATCATCCCACATGTTAAAAACTTCCTAGATTATTGTATGATTAAGTATATACTTTAAATTATATGATTATTAATAATCAATGATTTAATGTAATAAAATAAGGTTCAGAGGTCTTGGGATAAAAGCTCTATGCTTATGCTCATGTTCCATAAGCATAAGCTCCATGCTTATGTTTCTGAAAAGTACCTGAGGCTCTACATCAAGTATTGCAATTAGTCCCTGCTCATGGATCTTCCGTATTGTTTCCAGTTTCGTCCCATACATTGCATCCTCGTGGCTGCCATATTCCAAATACTCATTGTTGGATATATCCTGCATCATCTGGTCATGTGACACAAAATAATAATTCTTTCCATTTTCTTCATCTTTCTTTGGAGGTCTGGTTGTGTCTGGAATTTCAAGGAATACAAAAAGAAGCTTCAGGTATATCAACTGTTTAGTGGTCTTAACTGCTTGATTCCTAAGGTAGGGATCTACGACCTCCAAGCAGAAGCTTTGCAAGTCCTTAGCTGCAAATGTCTTGGAACACTCCTTGACAGGGAATGCCTTCATCGTTGACCCAGAAAAGAACGTTGGCACTATGTAAACTGTACCCCCTCATCCCACAAAGAGAAGCACCCCTAGGGTTCAGGAACCCAGCCAAGGTCTCTTTTCTTAGAAAAGCCTTGTCAGATGGTTCCTGTATTTCCATGCCCTAGGAGTGAAAACAATAATGTTGTTCAATCCAAGCACTTTCATGCTCTGAATGGGATGGTGTGATACGGTGTTAACAAATTAAGAAACCCTTCTTCATGCATTCCTATTGTTTTCCTGCCTCTGCCATTGCAGGCAACTTCTAAAAAGTAACACTAAGCATTATTTTTAACTCTAAAAAGATCAAACAAAACAAAATTGTACAGCTACACATATTAACACTTAATTTTAAAATAAAAGCCTAATGAAGTAGAAAGCTATTCAGGTTTCTATAAGATACCATGACCTTCATTATCATACAGGGGACCTTGTGGCTTCTGTGGCCGCCTCAGGCTGACAAAAAGGGTGGTATTTAGGAGGGCTGATGGGTGGCAGCTGTTGTACTGCTAATTTCAAAATGCAGAGTTTGAGAAATAAATGCATGCCCTTAAATAGTTAACTATACTGCAAAGAATTCTGCAATACATGTGGCAGGGCATACAGTGTCTACACATGTGCTCTGGGGTTGGGGGGTGCTTTAATTGGAGAGGTTCTGAGAGCTGCTCCAATTAAAGTGCCCACAGCATCCCATGTATTTAGCATCCCCAAGTTTCAAAATGGTGGTGGGGGCAACTGAACTAAAGCTCATTTGACAAGCTTTAGTTCAAGTGCCCCGCTGCTATTTTGAAGCACAGGGATGCTGAACAAACATGATGTGGAGACTGCTAGAGTACATTAATTAAAATGCTGCAGCTAATTAGCACGCATTGGAACAGACATCTGCCACATGTATAGGTGCTATAATTACTATAGCAGGTACCTGCAGACACAAATAAGATGGAGAAACAGAGGCCTGGGTAACAAATTTACTTGCAAACAGTGCAGCAAATTGTGTTTGACCCAAAATCAACTCGGGAAACTTAAAAGTTATTTCACGACTGTAACAGTTTGTAAGGCTATATGAAAAGCTATTTAAACCATTTCAATAAGATAATATATTAAGTTTCATGCAAATCCAGCTTATATTTATCTTCTGGGGAATTATAAACATTTTTTGTCAAGTTTAGGGCCTTTTCTGTCTTGACTAAATCAAGAATGTAAAACTAAATAAAAGATAAAATGATTTGAAGTCTACTCTTCAAAATAACAACTAGTTTGGGAAAAGAAGCATGCTTCATTAAACTCTATATAGTTGTTATGAGTATAGCCTAAAAATGTTTTAAGTGAAAGTGATGTTTTATTCTTGGTGTCAGCACAACACAAAAATGCACCCACCAGTATTGTGACTTACATACCAGTCTTAACTTATACTAGGCATTAACATACTACAATTACAAATGGATAGTAATGAACTGATAATATTACTACTACTGCAGAAAAGTAATACTTGTAAGTTTCTGCCATATTTAACATAGCTACTTACGTGGAATAGGATATGCAAATCTGTCTGGATGTTTTGTGATAAGTGTATTTTTTATGTGTCTCCTTCCAACACCATGTGCACCTAAATTCCCAATACAAAGAAGAAATTAAAATTTAGCACCAGGAAGAGAGCTGAAAATATACTCATATATTTAGAATATTAAGAATATTCTTAGAATTACCTAGTAAGACTAGTGTTTTCCTTTTGAATGCTGGCAGTTTTACTACTTCTTCATATGTGACAAGATCTAATTGATCAAACACTAAAAAACAAAGGAACAAACAGAGATAAGAGGAAAAAGTATATTAAGTAAGATAAGAAATTTATTTTGATTTATTATACTTCTAATACCAATGTTAAATCTGCAATCCAAAGTACCTTTTTTAAAAAAAGGCAATTAAATTGACAGTATAGAAATATCCTTGAATTAGCCATTTTATTACAGATTAATTTTTAATTCTGTAAAAACAGTTTAGTAGTAAGTTGCATTCAAACTACTGAAAGTCTCAGTAAGGTTTGCAGTTCCTTTCATGCAGTATTTAGCAGATCACAAAAACAGGTAAAAGAGCATGCTATTCACATTGTTGCATACCTGGGGAACTAGCAGTACTAAAAAAAATTATAGACAGTGACCAACATGAATATATTATGAGAACATCTATTTACACTACAGGTAGAAGTTAAAATAATGGTATTTTATTAGAGAATTATGAGAAATGCATAAATGACTAACCCTGTTTGTAACAATTCTCCTTAAACAGCTACCATGTTAACTGTAAGTAGAGTTCTCTTTAAACACATGCTATTTAAATTCACATGCTTTTAAAGCTTCTGACATTGAATGAAGATTTGTACCAGGGAAGTGATGACATTGCTGCACACTGAAAAACCTCTACCATACTGGGGGAAAAATTATTTAAGCTCTCTGCCATCCCTCTTTAAAAAAAAAATCTTCATTTAACTGAAATCTGTTTTCTGTGGTACCTATTTAGATTGCTGTCAATTGACAAGGTATACTGTATATGTCAAATCAAATTTTCTTCATTAAAATCACACTGTTCCTGCTTAAGCCCTGAAATACAATGTTTACAATGTCACAGGCATTTCAGTAGAAATCCAATGAAGAAATAAGGCAAGAAACAGCACTAATTAAAAATAATGATTGTGGCAATCAGCACTTTCAAAAGAGGAGGGACCCATTCTAATAAGAGTCACCAAAATTATATTTCTGGTTGCTCTTACAAAAAAAGAAAGAAAGAAGCCAATAGCTTTATTTATCACTTTATTTAATCTGCTGGTCATTTTGAAAATGAAATTTTTTAAGTATATTGAAAAGATCTCTGTTGCAATTCTTTCCACCTTAAAGAAAATACACACTTACATCATCATATTAGTCACATTATAAAAACCATCATTTTGGATATTAACTCGAAAACTCCTTAATTTTGCAAACATGTAAGTCTGTCTGAAAACTTTTTGAATTTGACTGAGAAAAAAGATCTCCCTTAATCTGTCTCCAAATACTGAAATATACTTTTAGAGGAAGGAGCTGAGTGTTTTGCATCATGCCATGAACCTACAAAGATGTCTAATGTTCTACGATTAAATTAGTTAACGAGCTCATTCCAAGTTAGAAAGAAAGAGCTGCAGATCCAATATATGCTAAACAGCTTTGCCAGTCTAGTAAACTAATCCCCAATTAAATCCTTCCCCTGCTGAAAAAATATCTATCCTTGATTCTTCCTGGGCTGTAGTGTATTATGTTAGATACAAATAAACAACAAAAATGGTGCACATAAATGTCTTTATCACAAACTAGGAGCAAAGGGAAGATATGCCTTGGTCTAAACAGGGTTAACCTAATGACTGCAGGGTTTCCAAACACAAATGAAAAATGATTTTTTTTTAAGGCAAGATATGAGGAATACGAGGGCACATTTAGAGACTGAACTTCTAATGTTTCTATGCTACTAAAGGAAACAGTAAGAAGCAAATAAAGAGGCATTGTCACTTGACAGGTTACTTACATGCACAGAGGCCATTGGGAGTAAGACAGCATGAAAAATGTACAGGGGTCATTGAGATATGGCTTGTAATATATTAGTAAAATAAAAAGTATATGCACAAAATAAACTTTTTCATGCAATATTCTACACACAAGGCAAATAAATCACATTAAGAAATGATAAACACATTTTATAAAAGCCTAGCAGTCTTCTAGTAGTAAATTTATGCATATTATAATTCTGCAAAAACATTTCTATAAAATAATTCTTGACAGTACATTTGTAAATATCATTGTGCCATATCTTTATAATATTCTTGAAAATGGTAACTGAATGTGAGGAAGAAAAATACTGAATTCATGTTAAACTTGGGCTTTGGTTGGTTTAAAACTGACTTTTGAAAGATGTGATATGCTACTTCAAAGCTGTTTAGTTGAGGACCTTGCTTCCAACTGAACTGATTAGGGAGCAAAGTGTGACAGAAATAATCTTAATAGGAAAAGAGAAAATACCAACTTCTTAGCTGTAAGAATTAAGTACACATGGCTTCATAAATCATGTTTAAATTCCAAAACAATCCACTAGCATTCTGGCAAATCACATGAAAATCTATACTGTTGTCCTAAAAAGACATAGTAAACCAGACATACTTAACTGATTGCAAGGCTATTTTACAAACTATGTTCTAGCATCCTAATTGCCTCCTATCAAGTAGCAGCAAGGGAAATGTTATACATTGCCTGACATAATTAAAATTAAAAAACTGCTGCTAAAATTTTCCTGTGATGCTCTTGTTAGAAAGAAAGCCGAATTTTACTTTCCAACAGTGTTGCATGACTTCTCCTGTGGACTTTGAATTGGATTCCTCAGACCAAAACCAAACCTATTGGTTTTGGGTCTTTGTAAGACCTATTTCCAGCTCTAAGGCAGATATTGTGAAGTCTTCTGAGAACAGCAATTTTGTAACACCTTGACACAGGACACCAGGGGAAAACAAAGCAACCAACCCCCCAACCCAGCAGTTCTTGTTAAATTTTTAACCTTTAAAATGGCACATCTTATTGGAGTGTATCACTGAAGCCTGACTCCAGTTTTAAACTCAAATACTGTGAGAAAAGGCTGAGAGATTTTCTCACCCTCATATTCAAGCCCTAAACTGAAAACATCCTGTTCTACCTATTTGGTATCTATTTGGCAGTTAAACATCTTAGTACAATCCTATTTTATCCTTGCTTGAGTCCCTAAAAAACTGGTAACGTGCCTACTTTTGTATCATGCCTTCATTTCAACATTAAGACTAAGCCCCGAAAAGCAGCAAGGATGAGAAGGACCCACTCACCTTCTGCATTAATGTTTTTTTCAGGGATTTAAGCAGAGAGGAATAGGATCATACTTGGATGCCTAGAAGATAACAGAATCTGGCCCTGGTTTTTTGTTTTTTTTACTGGTGCCCACACCATACTCTAATTTTGGTAGGAAGCTGAATAATACATCTTTGTCTTACTGCTACTCAAAAGTATTACAGATCTATTCATTTTTGTAAGACTATACGTGCATACCTCTAGAAATCAATCCATATACAAAAGAGACTTATATTTTAGGGTAGTTACATTCACAGATGAGCCTCGCACCCTTCAAGTGTCACTCCGATCCCCTTCCCCTGCCTCCTTTGCAGATTTACTTTCTGCTCCCTGCCCCATGCTCCTTGCCCGATCTGCTACTCTGCTTTTTGTTTCCTGCCTTATTTGCCACTGTGCTGCCTGTCCCCACCCTGATCTGCCATGTGTCACACACAGAGGCTGCCTGTGCCACTTGTAGCATATATGCTGTGGGTTGTGTCCCCTCCTCCCCCGCCAATCATTTGATGCCCTACATCCAATAGTTGCTTGATTCCTCTAAAACATTCAACTTTTATAATAGTTCTAACATACAACCTAATTCAGACCCAGAGTTGGATTAGCACTTTGTTTTTGGGGGGGGATATGGATGGGATACCTGCTAGACAGCAAGAACACCATTTCTTTCACCTGTATTGTTAGGATGGCTTTTTATTGGTATTTTCCAATTTTTTGTGGGAAATGTAGAACTGTATGAAGGTGGTACAATAATAGCGCTGGCCATAGTTAGACATAATGTAGGCTAGGACTGTGGAAGCTAGAACTGCCCAGTGCTCATCTGAAACATCCATGCTGTATCAAGGCACTAGAAAAGTCTTGTTTGTATTCCTCATTTTGTCCGGCTTTCTGTGTTGTCAGTAATGTTTGCTAAACAGGTGGTTCTAACATTATTTCAATTTTTATAAATGTTAAAATACCAAGAGTATTCAAACCAACAGAATAAAGCAAATGCAAGGTTAAGATTACCCAGTCTGTATTCATCTCCCTCTTTAAGCCTCACACACAGGACAGGAAGAGCTTCAGAACAACAATTTTGTATATTCTACTGCTGCGTGTTCTACTGTAGCTGAACACAAACTTGTGTATTAAGCAGCACAACAACAGGCTTGGTTCACTGCTTTTCTTTTTTAAATGTTACATAAAAAGCTTGGATAATACATGCATAACTGGGTCAGGGAACGACAGAGACTTCAATATGTATTTATAGTGTTATTTTCTTTTTCAGTATTTAAAACCTTTTACTGATATCCTAACTACTTCTTGAGCGCTAGAGGCTATGTCTATACATACCTGTATTCCAGCATAGCAGAGCTGCAAAAGCATATTCACACTCACTGGCGTCTGGTGGCTCTGCATGGTCTGTTCAACAGCTGTACTGCCAAAGTGCAAAGTGCACTCTGGGCAGGCACCATCTGCTGAATGGACCCTGACAGCTGGCTCATGATGGAGACTACGTGTTTTTTGTTTGCCGCTGGGGGAAAGACGCCTAATCTGTTCAGTAGAGATGGAGTAACTTTGCCAGCAGAAAGGAGGCTTCTGCTGTCACAAAGGGTCTCTGGATGTGACCCCACCCATAGGTTTTGCCAGCAGTGTTGGAATTCTGGTAACTCTTTGTAATATTGACTAGATCCGCAGCATGTCATCTATTCCAGACATCACAATTGATGTCATACTGAAATATGAAATGTTCAACTCTGCTGCGGACACTAAAAATTGGAAATGTTGCAGGTAAGCCAATGTATAAGACAGACATTTCCACTATAAGAAACTGCGTGTGTGTCTTGGTAAGCCAGTGTATAAGAAAGACATTTCCACTATAAGAAACTGAGTGTATGCGTCTCCTTTGATTCTGATAAAACCCCAACAGCTTTACTGACTAATAGGGGTGTGTGAAACGGGCTCAATTCGATTTGGATTTGGCCTGAATCAGGGACAATTATTCGATTTGTTGATTCGGATCACTGTCCCTAATTCCATTCGGCTGAATCCGAATCCGAAGATTCGATGCCGATTGGAGCGTCAGTGATTCGGACGTAGACACAGCTTTAAAAGTTTTTTCTATATACCTTGAGGTAGCAGGCGTGGCTCACGATTGCTGTGATGCTGGGGTGCATGGAGCATCCCACAGGTGTGTGGGGGGCCCTCCATGTGCTTACCGGCAAACCCAGAAGTGGACTGGAAGTACTTCCAGTCCATTTCCGGGTCTGCTGGGGAGCATGCTGGCCCCCCCTCC